GAGAGAGAGAGAGAGAGAGAGAGAAAAGAAATGCAAGAAAGCAAGCCGCCAGGTCTGGGACTCTAACTGTGGTCAACCATGTGGGAGTCCAGCTTAACCGCCACGCCACCTGCTGGCCCCTATTTCTTTTTTATTTAAAATTTGCTAGAGGGTGTGCAAACTTGCTGGAGGAGAAAGACACAGAGAGGGAAGGTGAGAAATCACCCCCCAGGGGGATGGTCACACCACAATCCCTTCTCCATTCTCCTCTCGGGATTTTGGGCATGCACTCACATGTACTTGGCATGATTTTCAAGTTGTTGGGTCTGCAACTTGAACTATATAGTTGGTAACATGGGATCCAGCCATCTTAACCACCATGCCACTGGCTGGGCTGATTGGCCAGCTATTTCTAATGGCATTTATTAAAGATTTCATCCTTTGGGACCAGTAGTTAGCATAATGGCTATGTCACTGGACTCCCATGTAGTCGACTGCGGTTTGAGTCCCAGACCCGGTGGTCTAAACTCATGCTGGGTGCACGTGTGTGTGCCCAAGATCCCGAGAGGAGAATGGAAGAGAAGGGATTGTGGCATGGCCATCTCCCCTGGGGGGTGATTTCTCGCTTTCTGTCTCTCTCTCTCTGTATTTCTGGCGAACGCATGCACCCTATAGCAAAAACCTCTATTTAAAAAATAAAAAAAAAAAGAAAAATATTTCATCCTTTCTCCACTAATTTGATATACCACCTTTTATTCATATTAATTTTTTGTATATATATGGGCCTTTTATACAAAATGTTAATTTTATTTATTTATTTATTTGAGAGATTTTTGCTAGAGGGTGTGTGTGATTGCCAGAGAGACAGAGACAAAGAGACAGAAAGTGAGAAATCACCCCCCAGGGGGAATAGCCATACTGCAGTCTCTTCTCCTCCATTCTCCTCTCGGGATCTTGGGCACGCATGCACATGCGCCCAGGGTGAATTTTAAGCTGATGTGTCTGAGATTTGAACTGCAGTCAACTACATGGGAGTCCAGTGACGTAACCATTACGCCATCTGTTGGTTCCTAAAAAAGGTTTATTTCTTTTTTCTCTAAGACAGAGAGGCAGCACCCCCAAGAGGGTTGTGTGTGTTTTTTTTTAAATTACATATATTTTTTACATTAAATCACCTTATATCATTTTTTAAATTTAACTTTATTTATTTATGTATTTTAATTTGACCAGAGAGGGATAGAGCGGGTGGGTGGGATAGTGGAGAAAGAGAGAGAGAAATTGAGAAAGCAAGCCACCAGGTCTAGGACTTGAACCATGGTTGGCCATGTGGGAGTGTCCAGTGCCTTAACCGCCATGCCACCTGCTGATCCCGTCAGAAAATTAAGTCTACACCTGGATCCTTTGTCACAGTGCTGGTGTGTAGGTGGACTGTCACACGCAGTGGCTTTTTCTCGCACTTTTAGCCAAGTTTTCTAGTGGGCTAGCTGTGGTCCTGTTCTGTTATTTACCTTCTAATTGTGGCTTTAGTCAAGGTGGGAATCGAATAAAACTTTCTTAGGCCAATTCCAGAGTCCAGAAGAGTGATTCTTTGAAGTAAATTGCTGTTTTGTTTGTTTGTTTTTAGAATTATTCATTTTATTCCTTTATTATATTATTTTTCCCTTCACTAGAGAGGAAAAGTGAGCTGTGGTCCTGTTTTGTTATTTACCTTCTAATTGTGGCTTTAGTCAAGGTGGGAATCGAATAAAACTTTCTTAGGCCAATTCCAGAGTCCAGAAGAGTGATTCTTTGAAGTAAATTGCTGTTTTGTTTGTTTGTTTTTAGAATTATTCATTTTATTCCTTTATTATATTATTTTTCCCTTCACTAGAGAGGAAAAGTGAGAAAGCAAGCTGCTAGGTCTGGGATTCGAGCTGCCTTCAGCCATGTGTGAGTCCAGCGCCTTAACCACCACACCACCTACTGGCCCATTGCTATCTGTTTTTATTTATTTATTTTCTTTCTTTCTTTCTTTCTTTCTTTTTTTTTTTTTTTTGGAGAGGTTTTCACTATAGGGCGCGTGTGCTTGCCAGACAGACAGAGAGAGACATAGAGACAGAAAGCAAGAAATCACCCCCCAGGGGGGATGGCCATGCCACAATCCCTTCTCCTCCATTCTCCTCTCGGGATCTTGGGCACGCACGCATACGCGCCCGGCGTGAGTTTTAAGCCACCGGGTTCGGGACGTGAACCGCGGTTGACAACGTGGGAGTCCAGTGACATAGCCATTACGCCAACTGCTGGTTCCCTACTATTTGTTTTTAAAATTTCTATTTCAAAGTCCTTATCCCATGTGCCATATGATGAATTTGGAAAAGCTCTAATCCTTGAAGACAGAATTTCAATGGGATTAAAAAACATACCATAACTGGGTTCGACAGTGGTGCAGTGGTAAAACATGATGCTCTGTGAGGCTGACTCACATGGCAGGGTTCCTGGTTCAAGTCTGTAGACGTCCCTGAGTATGCAGGTACATGTACACCTGTGGTCTGGGTCTGGCTAAAGGCTGAGGGTGGATTGTGGTGTGAGAACCTTGTTGGGAGTGCTGTCTCTCTCTCTCGCTCATGGAAGAAATAAATAAATGTAAAAAAACCCAAAAAACAAAGACAAAACCATATTAAGATATCAGAAGTTTTGCAATGCATTAAATATGATTAGATTTTTAAATTTCCCCATGAAAATCAGGAGGTGGTGATAGAATATAATTTATAAATATGTTTTTATCAGCTCTTTAATAAAAATGTGTGCATCTTGGAAAAATAATTAGAAGTGAGAAAGGAGACAAAGTTAGTAAGGCATTTGAAATTAATTAGGCCTTGACATGGATGTGGACTTGGAATATATTTACTACGATCTTACAACTTTTAGGAAATGTAGAAGCAGCTCTCACAGACTGGCTGGAGCTTTTTGGCCTGTCAAGTAACTTACATGTTCTGGCCTGTGGCATAAAAGATTGTCGTCATGGAAACCTAATTAGACCCGTGCTCAAAAACTTGGTAACCAGTGTGTAAGTCCTTGAGAAGAAAATAAAAGCCTAAGGAGGAGAAGGGTTGGTTAAAAATGGCCTTAGATAGATAAGGGTATGAAGTCTCAGTTGTGTCCCCCGCACACCTGTCCGAAGTAATTGCTCAAGCATACCTCTTAACAAAGAATTCGCTGACCAGCTGGCCTTGAGGTCAAAGTACCCCCAATTCCCACAGAGTGGGTATTGTTTACTGTAACCTCACCTCCTGCCTGTAGCTGTGTTATCAAAACATAAGATGGGAAACCTAAAAATAGCCACTCAGAGGGGCAGGCAGGTGGCTTGGTGGTTAAAGGTGCTGGACTCGCACATAGCCAACCCCAGTTCAGGTCCTGGACCTGGTGGCTTGTTTCTCACCTTCCCTCTCACTCTGTCAATCTCTGGTCAAAACAAAATAAATAAATAAAATTAAATAAAAATAAGTCTTTTTAAAAAAGCCAATCAGAAACTTATGCTGTTCTTGTGAACCGATGTTGTGAGTTCTTGGGGAAAAATGAACTTTTGTCACCCTCCTTCCCCAATTTCCCTGTAAGAGAAAACACCAAGCCTTCGCCATTTTGGAACAGTGGTCACTGTCCTCTGAGGTCCTTTCTCCCAGGTGGCCTATCTCTCATGCTTTAGCTTAAATAAATTTTCTTGTTTGACAAGTTTGCATCAGACTTCCTTATTTCCGGGTGACAGAAGCAAGTTCTTATTTTTTATATTGCCCTCTTATTCCAGGTGAAGTGTTCGTCTTAAATGATGGTGGAGAAGTTGACTTAGACCTTGGAAAATATGAAAGGTTCTTGGATATTAATCTTTATAAAGACAACAACATCACCACTGGGAAGATCTATCATCATGTGATTAATAAAGAGAGGTGTGGTGATTACATGGGGAGAACAGTGCAAGGTATTGTACTCTGCACGCGTCGTGGAGCCCAGTGTGCTGAGCACCAGCCGGCCCCTCAAAAGTGAACTGAATTGACGAGGTCCCTGCACTCTACAGGCGCTAATCCTTGCTCAGGCCCCGCGTCCTTTCCCTTCCCTATGTAATGTCGAGTTCATCCTCCATGTTCCTGATTATACTTTTCATCTGTCTTTTTTTTTTTTTAAAACTAATGTTATTGTTCTTCTACTTGAGTTTTTTTGCCTAAGAATGCACTACACTTTCAAAGCAAACTAAGCTTAAAGAGACTCTTCCAACGAACACTTAAGAACACAAAATTGTTTGTACCACTTAACTTTAGAAGTTGAACAACTTTGGAAGTACAGTTTTGCTCTAGGTCAATGTATCTATTCATGTATCTATTCTCTTTCCTTTTTCTATGTGGCAAATTCATGAAGAGCCACTTATTCATCATCTTTTTACTTAGTTGAAGTACAGATTTTTCTTTCTTTCTTTCTTTCTTTTTTACATTTTCTATAGGTTGTGTGAGCTTGCCAGAGAGAAAGAGAGAGAAAGGGAAAGTGAAAATCACCTCCTGGGGGAATAACCACACTGTAGTCCCTTGTCCTCTATTCTCCTCTCAGAATATTTTTACAGCATATTTGTTTAATTTCATTTTTCATTATTACTTTTATTTATTCATTTTTTAAATTAATTCATTTATTTTAATTTGTCCATAGAGAAGAGGCGGGGGAGAAGTGAGGGAGCAAGCTGCCAGGTCTGGGACTCAAACCGTAGTCAGCAATGTGGGAGTGTCCAGCACCTCAACCACCATGCCACCTGCTGATCCCCCCCCATTATTATTATTTTTAAATTTGCTACAGAGCATACACACTCACCAGAGAGAGACAGAGAGAGGGCAAGAAAGAGAGAGGAAAAGTGAGAAAGCAAGTCACCAGGTTTAGGACTTGAACTATGGTTGACCATATGGGAGTCCAGCACCTTAATCATCACGCCATCTGCTGGCTCCTCTTCTTGGGATTTTAGACATACATGCGAGCGTGCATGTGCGCATGCACACACGTATGCACACACACACACACACACACACACACACACTCACCCAGTGTGTTTTTCAAGCTCCTGAGTCCAGGATTCAAACAGTGCAGTTGGCCGTGTGGGATCCA